GGGTCTATAGCCCATTCGGCTTCGCCTCATGGGCTATTGACCCGTAGCCCTTGCGGGCTGCGGGTCTAATTGTTAATTATTACCTTTTCGTTGGTTTCTTTCACGGTAAATTCAATGCAGCTCTTTGTTTGTCCTCCAGACTGATCAGCGGCTGGTACTCCTGAGTAAATCAAAGCGGCTGCGAATGATAGTATAAGACGGGAGATAAGCGACGTATTGTTCAACGTAAATTCTGCATCGAATAAAAATATCTTCCCATCAAATAAAAGCACGAAACAATAACTGGCTAACTAAGGTAGAAAACAGCAAAGCTATAGCTATGATTATGAGCTGAAAACAACGACAACAACAACAACAACAACAACAGGGACGGCTTACAGACTGAACAATTAAATAAAAATAAATTACAGAGAGAGGAAGCCACATCAGTCTTAATTGGTTTTTATACGGGTCCTCTATCCTGGTCGAATTGGAATTTGGAGATGATGGTTTTTGTGGCCGGAGGAAAACCGTAGAACTCGGAGAAAAACCCTCAGAGCAAGGCGGGAACCAACAACAAATTCAACGCACATGTGGCACCGGGCCGGAATCGAACCCAGGCCACATTGGTGGGAGGCCAGCGCTCTCACCACTGCACCATCTCTGCTCCCCAACTTTGTCAAGTTTATAACTGGTTGTTGGTTTACGGCCAAGAAGACTGGATTTAGCACTGATGGCTTAGTCGGACATCCTTAGAAAGTCAAAATTTTCTAGTGTAAAGCTAATTTATTCCATGTCAGCCTACAGCGAAATCTTTGTTTTACAATATTTGTTTCATCATAAGCATGAGCGATTCAGTTTTTGATCAAGCTGCAGAAATTTATGTTCTGAAATCACTGAAAGGTCATAAGACGATGAAATATCCCAAGGAATTTGAGCCCGTTGTATAGTGTACTTTTTGCGCAACGCGAGTTAAAAAAACTCAAAATTCAACAAAGAATGGAGAAGCTCATCTGCGCTTTTGCTACCCAGAAACTTTGCAGTTATTGAGAGCTACTTTGTTTGTGACTCCGAATACCTGATGACGCGCATAGTTGCCAATGTACCTATACGAGCATTGTACGGAGAGAAATCCGTGAAATACTTTATAAATGTTTTAACGAAACCTACCACCCTCAGCAGTCTCGTGTTCGTCCTGAAATCCTAACCAGACTCTGAAATAAACATTTGAAGCATCAAGTATTTCATACAGTAAATTTAACTATTAGCTCGGCCAAGCCACATCGTGCACTGAGGCAGTATTAGGGTAACGAAGTCAATCTGAAGCAAGATATCCATAAGATTCATGCCTTATATTCCATAACTCGCTAAATTTTGTCCTACATAAACGATAGCCTCCATTTGGCGCGAAAATATGCTCGGATATTTGTCCGGGAACATTATCTGTTCCGAGAAGCGAACAGTTTTACGAGAGCGTAGCTCGAGGAAATCTGTGAGCTTCGAGGAACAGATAATGTCCAAGGACAAATATCCGAGCATATTTTTCAAGTCAAATGGGGGTTATTGTGTTTATTTTCTTTCAAATATTTCTCGCAACACGCCGGATTTGAAAATTGGGAAATATCACTCGAAACTTACCTAAAATGATCCACTTATATTAAAAGTGCACCTAACCTAACTGAAGAGAAGTGATATAGTGAATCACACATGCATAATGGTTGTGACGATCGGCTGACGACACCCTTCAGCTTTGATGTTCATAGCACGTTGCAAAGTATGACGAAGTAATTCTAGAAGGAAACAAACTTAAACCAAAGTTCACGTACACCTGCTCTTTAAATTCATTGGCAGCAAGCTTAAAGCGTAAACAGAAACTAACACTCTAATGTCGCCTACCTCAGATCTTTTACAGACGTCTCTTCTAAGCTTTCAACAACCAGGTGAAGTTCATAAAACTCGTTAACCAGGGCTGGAGGTTCATGTTTGAGTTTTACTTCAATTTTAGGCTTCCGTGCTTCAATTCTAGCGTTTGAAAATGAGGAAGTCAATGAAATGCGGACGTGCTTTCAAAGTTGTTTAAACATAACACCATAATGATTCGATTTAGCGCCCTCCTTCCAATAGGCGTCCCCTTTCGAATAAGCGCCCCCTTCGAATGTGTTTTTATTAATAAGCGACCCTATTCTAATACTATATCATTACAATGCCGTCAGAGTACGTATCAACGGAGTTCATCTTTCTTAATAATGCCGCATCACAAAAACAGTGGTCTTCGTCTGAGTTTCCCAACTATTTTGTCGCTGCGAATGCATAATTCCTTTAAACGAAAGGTCTCTTCTTCAAGTTTGGTTTTGAACATTCGATTGTTTCTCCAAAAAGAAATAAGCGCCCTGTCTCTAATAAGCGACCTCCCTTGAGGTACCAAAAGTAAAAGGGCGCCCTGGGCGGGCTGGGCGGGCTAGGCGGGCGCTANCCTTATTAAAACAGTGGCGGACCTAGACCTTGAGGTAAGGGGGGTGGGGAGCCCGGGTCCCTCCCCTAGATCCGCCAGTGTAAAAGAATGACACATTATCAAGGTGTTTTCGTTATGAGAAAAAAGTACTTATTCACCAACACGAGCTTGTCTTGATGAACATAGTTTAAGGCCCTGCCCGCACTACGTCGGAGGGATTTAAAAACGCATCATCACCCGGTCACTTTGGAGCTGTGTTTGAGGAAAACCCGGTTAGGGAATCACATGATTATCGAAAAGCTCCGTTTTCAAAATGTTTTCCGTCCAGACGAAAACGCAAAGCCGGCGTTTTCAAATTCCTCCGGTTACAAGGGCGTCTTCGAAAAAGCTGCGTTTTCTTGACGGATTAGTGTGGACTCGGTAGGCCAAACCGTAGAAATAAAGCTGCGTTTTCAAATTCCTCCGGCGTAGTGTGGACGAGGCCTAAGAAACTGTCAGTGCGATTGTTTCTCGTCGTTTCTCTGAATAGCATTTAAAATGATCGACATTTCGAAGCAGTAGTTCTAGTTATACTAGACAGCCGGTCCTAGCATCTACCACAACTACACAATCAGTTATATATTTATGTCATAATAAATAATAATAATTAAAAATATCTTTAGCCGGGAGGAGCCGGGAGGCAACCCGGCTCAGCCTCTGGTGGTTTTCATTTGAACTTTCAAATTACGTTTTAAATTAAGGAAGAGTCCTAAGGATTAGAATTATTAATTTACAACGATCCAGAGCGTCTGCGTGGGAGGTCAGCTTACACGTATATTAATTATTTTATCCACTAAATTTCGTAATGAATATACTTTTTAATGACGACGAACTTTCTTAGACTGGACTCAAGAAATGACAACGGTAAATTAAATGTCGACTACAAATTTCTACTCAGTCAGCAATATGCATCATGGTTAAAACAGACATCAGTTTTAAAAAATTCTTGACTTTTCGCTGAGAAAACTAAGATGTCCCTGACCAAATAAAATAGGAAATGTCAGATATAGGAGCGGCCTCCGGCCTCTCCTTACAGCTGTCCTTTCCGCTTATTTATAAACCTGATCTGTTCCATAAATTGGCCTTCTTCATAAACGTAAAACATCGTTAAGGTCACTGCGACCTGAAATGTTTCTTCCAGCCTTCAATGGTTTTAAATCAGCCGAGTTATAATCTCAATCAGCCCTGACTTTTCGTGAAAATGTCAATTTCCCATGTCTCAAAACAAACCTCCCTGACTTTTCCCTGACCTCGAAGAATTTTTTTCCCTGACCATTTCTTGACCTGTAGCAACTCTGCATATTTTTATTGCATGACTACACGATTTAAGAATTCGAGGACTCGAAGTTTGGACATAAAACAAATTTGAGGAAGAAATTTAGACAAAGAAAAGCCTGTTAAAAATTAATCACCTCTATGATGATATAAAGTTCGCTGGAAAAAAAAGCGGTTTTCTTAGAACGTTTTTGGAATGTAAAGAAGCCGGCAATATTCATTCATCAGAAGGAAGCCATTCATATGCAAGGCACGCGAATTTTGTTACCGGAAACGTTGTTATTAGATCTCTCCTGACTGAATTCTTTGTTATTAAGCACCTTATCTACTTGTACGTCATATTTAGCAAAAATAGCACGTGCAAAGAACCAATGACTTTCGAGAATGTTGTTATTGAAATGGTTTAAAACATGTGCGTTATTCTCTACGCAAGACAGAACTAAACGTAATTGGTATAGCAGGTATAGGAGTCGACTGTGTATCGTCAATGATTATAAGCCTTGACACGGAAAAAGAGAAAATACAAAATCTGCTGTGACATGCCAATTCTTCATCAGTCACGTTTAGCCATTGAAGAATTTTGTTTTACGTTGCAGTAAGCAGACGTCCTCATCAGCGTAACATCAAAGTGAAAACGTTTTCATCTTTATGGAAAAGCCGAAAATGAACAGCACATCAACAGAGAGCAATGCAACTGGTGCAGTCGTTCTTTCCAAGGTAGAGGGGATCGCATTGTGCAGCGCTTATATTTTGGCATCGGTCTTTATTGTCGTAGGAAACTTGTTCATCGTTGTCCTGTTCGTAGTTAACAAGAAACTACGCAAGAAAAGTTTATTTCTAGTCATAAGTATGGCGTTTGCTGATCTCATGCTGGGAATACTGTCTGTACCTATCTACGTTTTGTTCATCGGATATTCCTATGACCTTTGGAGAGTCGAAGAAGCGCTGTCGAATAAGTCCTTCTTCATGGCTCACACCGTCACTGATACCGTTTTTGCACAAGCCTCTCTAATTTCTGCGGCCGCGATATCTGGAGAAAGATTTTACGCTATTTATTGGCCCTTGAAGAGTCAAATAGTGACAACGCGCGCATATCGCATCGTTCTTGTTGCGGTATGGACACTAGCTATCGTTATATCGTCAGTAGTCATAGCACTGAGTCATTTCACTTCATACAAACATGCTGTGTTCGCCTGGACGCCTTACGCTCTGATTCTAACGTTCATCATTTGCGCTTTCAACTTCAGCATTTGGACAAAGTTTCAACATGGAAGGGTCGCTTCACAACAGCCAAACAGAGCCTTGCACAACAAACGTTTAACAAAAACCTTGCTGATCGCATCTGGACTGGCTCTGCTATCATGGCTACCTTTAATTATTACAAGCATTTTGGACGTTCATGGCTTCTCGATATCTTTGAGAAATAATCTGGTTGTGAACCTGGTAAATTTTTCGAACTCTTTCATAAATCCAATTGTGTATGTATTACGAATTCCCGAATTTCGAAATGCGTTGGGTATGTGTTCTTTAAGAACGCAAACAACAGGGAAGACACCAGCTACTGACGTAAGAAATGCTTTGACGCCGAGGAGGAGACAATTAAGAACATTACGAACCCACCCCAGTCATCCAAAAGTGGCGTTTGAACAGGAAACTGCAGATAGCCAACTGTACTTAACTAAGGTGTGATAAGCTACTGACGCTGATCACGTACTGAGCTCTATCTTTATACAATGCAATCATTACTTAACTAAGGTTTTTTTGTAATCTAGCTTGTATTTCCTTTCGAAACAAAGTTTTTTCCTCCTGTGATAGGGCTTTACTTAAATCTGAATCCGATTCTAATCGCATTAGCGCGCTATTCTATTTTTCATTCAAGTTAAGTTTTCACTTGAGGTTAAAATGGCAGACAAATTATTTTATTTGAGGATGAATAATCAGTCACATGGATTTGTAATCACTTGAGGATATAAGGACAATTTCATGTCAAATCTTGTTCCAAAGTCTCAAAGGAAACCTATGGACTTATCGACTGAAGTCAACAGTACAACTATAGTACACTATAACATGAATGGAAGTTTTAATTCCATCAAAACAAAGCGCCAAAGGAAACCGAACCGCGGTAAATAGGTATATTTCATGTAAATATCCCTAAGTAGATTTTATGTTTAAAAAACTGACTTTTAAATAGGTATGACCTAATGATCTAAATTAAATCATGGTTGCCACAGACATCACTTTTCAAAATTCCCCAACTATTCCCTGACTTTTCCCTGATAAAAATAATTTTTTCTGACCCAATATATACGAAATGTCAGATATAGTAGTGACCTCCATCCTCCCCGTTACAGCCGTCCTTTCTTCCAATTAGGTTTAGACTAATTAGTTTTTAATAGCTTTTGCCTTTAAGGGAAAACACCGTTGAGATCACAAGTGACCCGAAATGTTTCTTCCAGCCTTGATGGGTATTAAATCAGCCGTGTTATCATTTTCATCAAGTTTTACCCGACTTCTTTTTCAAAATGTCAATTTTCCCTGAATCAAAATGAAACTCTCTGACCTTGGAGAATATTTTCTCCCCTGACAATTAAATGACCTGTAGCAGCCCTGAAAATTGAGCCTAAAAACTGGGGACGGTTTCTCAAAGCTGAATAATTGTTTGAAATTACAGAACAAACAAGAAATCGAGGAACACCTGTTTGTAGCCTGCTCCAAAGATTACTGTGTAGATTGCATATAGCACGCAATTACAGTCACCTCACATTATGTAGATTTAACAATGTTTTTACCCAAGGCGCGTCACTGAGCAGAAAAAAATCAACAGATGACAATCTCTCAAACCTGATCGCTTAGATAAAGCACGTTCAAACAGGCATTAATTAGCAGCTGGGTTAGTCAGGGATGCATGGCTTGCCTTGTGAAAGAGCAAACCCGCAGGGGCTGGTGTTGTTTCATAAGCCAATATAGAATTCATTTTCCACATCCTCTCGGTTTAAAGTGCGCACGTTTTCGATCTAGAGCTAGTGATCGGTCAAAAAGACAACACTACACTTAAGGCTACCGTGTACCTTCAGGGGTGTCTCCAGTCCAACGGATGTAGCGCTTCGCGATCACATCGCAGATACCCTAACTCCTGCACCAGATTAAAGCTTATAGATCTCGTTATTCAGAATATTTATTAGGTTTTCCCGAAAATGACTCATCGAAGTTTTCCCCGAGGTCTAAACTCGAAGCCATACATCATTTTTTTTAAAAGTTCCACCTTAACACGATTTTTATATTTTGGAAATTTTAGTTTTTTTTTCTCGCGATCAGGCACCCAAACGCTTAAAAAAACGTGTTGGAGTTTTCCTTTGTTTGATTGCATTCAAAAGCTACAGAACATTTTCATAACTCGCAACAACATAATTTTCAGAATTGTCAAATTCCCCAACTCGTTTTAGTTGGTCTATTTTTCAATTGACCAAATTTGACTGAAATCGGAGAAAAGACCTTTGAGTTTTAACTCTTCTAAGTGTCCCCATCCAGCAAAAACAGAGTTTTAAAAAAACCAGCAAAAAAGATTTAAATGAAATAACACTGAGAAAACGAACACAGCCCTCAAACTCATTCAAGGACAGTTTACTGCATATTTGCTCTTTTGAATTTTCTTTCCTTGTCTGAAAGCTTGTAACTCAAGGTATATTCATGGAGACAAACCAAAATTGAAAATTTTTCATTCTGAAGGTACACGGTAACCTTAAACAGTACAACAGCAAATATAATAACGCCACGCCATTGGCCTTGACACTCGTGTTGGACTCTTTATACCATCCGTCGCCTTAACCCTAACTTTCTTCTTATCACTGAGGCGGTTGTGACGTTTCAAAGCGGAAGAGTCGTTTCGCAGCAGCAAAACAGAGCCTCACAACAAACCCCTTGCTATTTGTATTTGTCCTCAGTCTGCTGTAGGCTCTGTTTTATTATTGTAAACATTTGACGGGATCGAGCGCAAATATCTGAAGTTGTGTGTGCTTCAGTCAGGCTATAATACTAATTATGTTTATCGAAGTCAATGTACACAATGCTGGGATAATACTAAGAGAGCGCACATGTTCCAAGTTCACTTGGCGCCAGTTCAATCACGCCCTTCTCCACCACCCCCCTCCCCGCCCAAAAAAACAATTCCACACTCGTCGACCTGCATGGCTTACTAAAGCCTACCGAGGGGCTGTTTGTAGCGCACTATACACTATGAACAACATTTACACTAACTTGATTTTCGATACAGCTTTTAAATCATCCCAATCGATCTGATCTTCTTTGCTTGCGGACTTTAAGCCGTAAGACACAAAGGAGTTGTTAGTAGCCGCAGCCTCCCCTCCCCAACCACTCCACACAAGCACAGCACATCGAGACCCACGGGAGCCCAGCTCCAGAGCGACAGAGGTGACCTGGGAACAACACAACAAACATGAACCTTTCAGAAACGCCGTGTGAATCACATGTAGTTGTGATTAGCAAAAACCATTCAGTATAACACCAGTTTTAGAGTCAAAACTTCCTGGCAGTTTTAGCTACCATTCTGAATCTCAAGATGCCAAAAAAACACCAGACTGACTGAACGCATAGCGCATTTTCCCTCAGGTGGCAAGCATCCATGCAAATTTATTGGAACAAAAGAAACTGTTTACGTAAGAAAAAGATTAATCGCTCAAATGTTGTTTTTAGTGGTCCATGCACTTAGCTACGCCTAGCTAGTTCCCATACAGGCATGCCACTTAAACTGAAAGAAAGAACTGTTTCAAATAAAGATAACAGGCGTAAGAGTCCCAACTGACAGGAGGCAGACCAGTTGGCTATTTACAAGCATGACCGAGGAGTTGAACTGGGGCTACCAAGAAACAACTCCAACTTAGTTGTCAGAGCGGGACTCGAACTCGCGACCTCCGGTGAAAACACTCTGTAGCTGTAATGTGCACGATGAATGCCTCACACATCAACAGGGAAACAAAGAAAAACTTAAGGCTCCTGAGAAGCTTTGAGTTAGTTTACATGACAGATTGTTGTACCTGAAGCTGTTTTCCCACATCCTCTGGCTGTGGAACAAGCTGGAATGGAATGACTTTGGTCTTAGCTGGTAAAAGATACAATCCACCCTCTCCTTGAGTCAATCCCGTCTCCACTACGCACTGCTGGTTATAAAACTACGAAAAAGAAAACAAGACAAGTCACAAGATGGCCAAAATTCAACTGTTGTAGGCCAGTAGCCTCTGGAACGAATTTTATGCTGCCTGCATACTATTTAACAATTAGATTATTCACTCTCGATTCCTATCGCGTGATAGTTGACGAGGGCACAGCCCGAGTCAACTATCACGCATAGAAATCGAGAGCGAATAATCTAATTGTTTTAGTATAAATCTACTAGTCGTTCAAACCTTTATCAAAATTCTCCTCACAGACACCTCGAAAACGCCAAGAAGCGGTCGTCATTTTGTTAACAAGCGCACACTGCTACGCTACTCACTATCTACAGCAGAATAGATAGTGAGTAGCGTAGCGTCTCAGCGAACGGCATTCGTGATAGAACACTAGTAGATTTATACTAAGTTTAAGTTTATGGCATCCATAAACTGATGTTAATGAGACCTGAGAGGCAATATCTCAAAGACAGGCACACAAATTCTGCATTGTAACACTTTATTTCAGAGACATGTAACACTATGAACCTCCTGTCACGCTCATAAGTAAATCCCAGTAACATAGGTAACATGCCACCAATTCCTGATCTCAAAGTCCATCAGGGATTCCCAGTTGAAAACAATCANCAAAAAAAAAAAAAAAAAAAAAAATGGGGGCAAGCTTTGACACTACAATTCAGAATGTCGTGTATAGATACTGAACAGGACTATTCCGCTACTTTTAGAAAAACATTTATCCGTATATACTCCCCAGTCGTCCTTCCCTGCCACCCAAATTTTACCCACAGCCAGTGTGTTATTTCCTAAATGTAGTATCGTTAGTGGAAGCTCAGACCAGGCCTCGAAAGAGGATCATTAATAACTATTATCTTATGATAAAGAATTGCGTTTAACTAACCTGATTGCTGAAGAAAACAGCAATTTTAGAAAAACGGATTGGGAAAGGACACGTTACCCTGAAACAAGAAAAAAACAAAGTTATTACCTTCGTTTCTTGACGAAGCACTAGACTATCTGGTGTTGAAAACTAAAATCAGGACAAACCTCAAGTAAATTTGAAGGAGGATAGTCGAATCTGCCGAGATTGTTGACGAATCAAATACAGCCTTGCATTCAACTGTAGAGAGAAAAAGACGGTTATCAACATAATAGACAAACAGCAAGCGAAAAGCTCAATAAATAAATGAAAGAACAACGTGTATACGGTCCATTTTGAAGAAATCACATTACATATTTGGTTTAGTTTGTGCTTGATTTGTAATTTGTTCAAAGTTAGGCCACGCAATTTACCCAGGGTATGCCTTTTTGCTACGCTATTCAGTTCCAAGCAGCCAGAAGTGATCTAACCCACGCGATTAGACTGGCTTTCCCTTGGAGTTTGATTGGTGCACTTGTTGCAATAACTAAGGAAACTCCTACTCTCTCTTTGCTCGACAGCTGAACAAAGCAAACGTTGACGATTGACAGGGACACGATGTCCATTTAATTGAAAAAAATTGTACAAATCAACCACTTGATTTACACTATTAGACATAGACTGCGCGCAGTCTCTCTTTTGCTCGAAAATCCTAGGGAAGAACGCAAAACAAGTGAGCATGCGAGCGTTGTATTTCTGTCGTGTTCTTGTCTGAGTTCTTCCCCACGGATTCTCGAGCAAAACAGAGACTACCCGCAACCTCGTTCCCAGGGTCTCTTATCTTCTCGCTCCAGGGGGCGTGAAGATCAGAGACCCTGGGAACGAGGTTGGACTGCTCGCAGTCTAATCAAAGTGCTCTATGAGCAGACCTGTGAATTTCCCAGTGAGTGATGATTGACGTGAGTTAACCTTTGCGCAATATGGAATTACTCTTTTCAAACACCATGTAAAACAAATCGCTTCGCTCAAGGTCCCTCCAGGGTTGTCAAAACTTAATAACGTCCTTTCTATGGTCTACTGAGTGCGTGCATCTACCATGGATAAATGTGGTGAATTTGTAAGCACACGGTCATTGTGGTGGCTTTTTGTTAACTTCAGCTTCTGTCTACAACAGTTTTGAGCAAACAGCATATATAACAGTCATAAATGACTAATTATGAAACAAATTTTAGAGCAGTTAGACCAATTTCAAAATTCAGCCTAAAACAATAGACCTCAGCACGAGGCTCCGGGGAATAAATCCCACAAACTCTGCAGTTATTCCCCTGAGCCTCGTGCTGAGGTCTATTGTTTTAGGCTGAATTTTAATTTATCGAAACTGGTCTATTAGCTTCAACTGAGAGTTGAAAGTAATCAGGCAATTACTTTGGTCTTGGTTTTGGTTTTACTACGGTTTAAGATTGGCTGAGTAGTCTAATTGGTAAGTTATTGGTTTGGGTTTGGTTTTACTACACTGAAAACCACCCTAAGTGGCAAATAAACCATCATTCTCACCAAATGGTGCTATTTGTTCCATCTGTATGGTAAACACCTGGGGTGTCTGTGGCGACGCCTTCAGTGTTTTCCACAATTCCTTTGCCTCTTCTACTGCTTCAAAGTCACATCCTGGCTCGGGCTCAGGGCATTCATTCTATCATTTACGAGGAAATGGCAAACAACACAAATGTTCTTCATTTCAGTTTACTCTAGACGTTTGTGTTTGTTTGTTGACTGGGACACGACAGTAGGGGGTCATGTGACCACGCCACAGTCACACCACAAACTTGGGTGTTCATAAAGCTTGTACATGTAAGATCATGTATAACATTTTTGGCCTTCACCGTCCTAAAGGATATTTTACCATAATATCAGGGGCGGCATAGCCAGGGGGTTGTAAATTCCCCCCCCCCCCGCCAATTTCAAGCGAAAAATACACAAAATAATAATTTTACAAATATCTCCAGACCCCCTACAAGTTAGCGCCTGTAGTGCTCGCTTGTAATCCCCCACCCCAATTCAAAATACACTCCGCCATCCCTGAATCTAAATGAAATGTGGCAAAATCATGTGCTATATGGCCCCTCCCCATTTTGAGCACCCTGCGAGAAAGCTCTCTTAGCTCTTCCACTTAAAAGAGCTTGCTGTCAGGTTAACAAATATATTCCATGTTGCCGTGCGTCTGTTCAGTAATAGATCGCAGATAACGTTAAAATGTGGTGTGACCAAAAAGTGGCAGTCTGTCACTGATGTTCTTACCACATTTTAACGTCTTCTGTGATCTATTACTGAACCGACGCATAACGTCTTGAGGAGCCCATAACAAAGAGTGTTCGTAAATTCTAGCAAGTGAGAACAGAGGCACGCAAGGTTTATTTTGAACTGGAGTGACTGCCCTGTTACCAGCGCTGAAGCCCGAGTGATGACCTTCAGGACCTCTTGGATTATCCCTCTCTCAACTCTGTATAAAGCCACATTCTTACCGACATAACTTGGATGAGGTTTGTCTGACATCTTGTTTTTTCCTCAGGTGAATTTTCAACATCTGATTTGTTTCAGAATCAAGGAATATTTATTTAATGATAAATATCTTTCAGACCTGTTTACTTTGGCGAGGGGGTTAAAATCCTGTTACAGTTTAGTGGCGTCAACTGAAACCAAGCAACTATAAATCAGGGTCAACAGGTTTAGTTTCACTTTTCCACAACTATTACCAGCAGCAGCAGCAGCAGCAGAGAATAACACTGTACTGTTCCAGAAAATGTCCATACACGTACCCACCTTTTTTTATATTTTTTTAGACTTAAAGAAATATGAAACTACTTACAGTACGATATTACCAACAAAACGATACTTACGCTACTAAGAACAAAACAAATACCTCGATACGATACAATTACTTACAAAATGTCCATACCCACCTAATGTAACACCATTGTAAACTGGAGTGGCGTAATGTAATAGAATTTTTTTTTATGGAAGTGGGGTTCGGAGTTTAAAGCGAAACCCAAACTGAAGAATTTCCGAGTAGAATGGATTAAACTTCACAAGCCCATTAGCCAAGCAATGTTTTGCTGCTTGACCTGTTGTATCCGCGTAAGCTTGAGCACGATTACATCTGTTATACAACGTAAGTACTCTTTTTGTAATGCGAGATTAGAATGATGTTAAGTAATGACTCTTTTCAGCAACTGGCATCTTTGAAAAGATACATCTTCCCATCAATTCAAGCGAAAGAGTGATGTACTCTTGCACATTTCCGACAAGATAAGCACACCTGAAATGAAAATCACTGAACATTGATGTCTTGAAAAATTTAAAACATGATACAGACACATAACACCCTCAGGAAAGTATAAGACTTGGCTATATCTCTAGTGATCAGAGTGATGTGTCTATTAAACGGTTCACCAGTATGATCAGGTTCAGGTCTCGCCCATTCACATCCCAGGCTCAACTGTATTTGCATTTTCGAAGTAACTATAACACTATCTACTGCCAAAAGAAGAAAGGAAGTAATTTTCCTTTACACTAAACATGGCTACATATTACATGTTGTAATGTTAATTTCCCTTTCTTTGTTTTCTTTCTATTTACATGCTCCCTAGAACTTCAATTGTGTGGGGAGCTAACAAGAAAGCCAACTGGTTAATTTAGCTTTCCAGCTCGAGCTTCAATTTCAATATAGATATAATCAGTTTTATGTGCCATCTTCAAGATGTTAAGTTATTTAGTTAATTATACAAATGAGCTCAATTGACAAGAATAATTATTACCGTTGCTTGTAACTAAGCATGAACACGTGGCGCCGAAACATGCTCTTATTGGGTGTCAAACGTGGCATGATTGGTCATCAAACATTTGAAGTTTAGCAGACCGTACAACGCGAACTTTCGCGCTCAAAATGTTCATCATACGGGCGAAAACCAATATTTCATGGTTACACTAGAAGTAAAACCACTTTCGCGAAAGGCGTATGCATATTGACACAGGTCAGGGTCAATTTCTCTGGAGAAGTCTTCAATGTCCAATCTTTCTGCCATTTCGTGTGCTGAACTTTAAGCGCGAAAGTTCGCACCACGATCTGCTAAACTTCGAATGTTTGATGACCAATCATGCCACGTTTGACACCCAATTAGAGTACGTTTCGGCGTCACGTGTTCACGCTTAGATGCAAGTGACGGTATTATAAAACCTTTTAGCCGGAAGGAGCCTTGGCACAAGGAAGGTGGCCGTAGTGACGCATGCTTTGATCGGATAGATTCTTGGTCCATTCTGGTAGTTTGCTTCTAATTGTGTTTTTATTGTAATCTTCTACTGTTCAATGAAAAATAACTAACAACTACTCAGTACCTCAATGACGTGATTAGCACTGAGGTCAGAAGTGACCACCATTTTTCTCTGCGGTAATCCCAAGTGACTCTACACAACAACCTGAAAAACAAACAGAGTGAAAGAGTGTTATGAAGTTTTCTCTAAGCAGCATCTGTCTTCTGAAACAACACAATATTGTGAAAACACGTTTAGAAATGATACACATCAAACTTTGTAAAATATTACTACACTCACATTAAAGCCTTGCTGTAGTCTCTAGCATGATAATATTCCTCACCCATCTGTACCACTAAAACATTTAAAATGAACAGTAAAGAAACTGTTACAGGTACTTGTGGATTCACAAACCAGTTTAAACTAGTAAGCCTATGTTTATGGGGAGAAGCCACAACAACTTTGCCAGTTTGTTCCAAGATGTCACAGGCCAATGGAATAAAATTCTTAAGCAGCTCTCATAAGCTTGTAATTCTATTTGTTGTCATAGTATAGCAGGCTGTTATTGTTTTGGGGCTAGGGGCATTGTTTCTGTTGTTCTCTTAACGGGTATCAAGCCAGTCATGTGAGACCTTGCTAAAGCTGCTGATGAACTAAAATTCATCACTAGTAAGTAATTTGATCACTGTTAGCCCATGCCTACACAGGTTTCTGAACTCAATTTATCAACAAGAACTCAAGCAGCAGTGACATTAAACAGTAATATACAGAAAGAGAGATTATCCACCGTTTTTGTACATGTACAGACAAAGGTTACAACAGTATTGCTCACTCAAATATCTTTTCATTCTGGGTGACTTGTACTTTTTAAACTGAGCCACTGCACTGCTGAGAAGAGGAATGATGATCCACTGCAAAAACCAAGCAAGAAACAAACAAACACATGTATGTGTGTTATTTAAGCCAAGTCACTGGTAGTTTACATGTATCAAAAGTTACCTGTACAAAACTAGCCATCAAATGACAAACTCACAGCTGAATTTGCTGTAAGGTTTTCACTACACACTGATTTTTTCCCATTTCATTTCATATAAGACAGTTGTTCTCAGAAACTCTCTAACTTCAAGTGATAAGAAACTTTTAACTTCTACAGCTAGGCACATCATCCCACTGCATTTGTCTGCCACTGAATAAGAAACAACCTCATGACGTTTCCCTTCCCTAATTTTCTAGATTATATCTTGTTATGATGTAATGAGCACTTACTGAATGGTCCACCTGTATTTCCTGAGCCTGCAATGCAATGATTCCAGCATGCTCTATTGCAGCATCTGGAGGCTCTGCTCCTACAAATATAGGTCAGAAAAGTTCATTAGTCCTGAGAAGGAAAACAAATTATGTACTATACAGTTATGGGTGCAAAAGCATGGAGGCCTAATGGTGAACAAGCTGGACTCTAGATCAAGTGCTCTGAGTTTGAGCTCTAGCCAGGGTCGTAACGTTGTTCTTTTGGGCAAGACACTTCTCCCTCATAGCTCTCACAGTGTCTCTCTTCTCACAGGTGTATGAAAGGTTGCTGGTGAATTTATCCTGGGGAGTGACCCTGCGATGGCCTAGCATCCCATCCAGGGGGGAGCAGAAATACTTCTAGTTGCTTAATCCTATAGAAATCAGGACAAGCCCTAGCTGTATAGGCCACTGGCATGATGTACACTTTACCTTATACAGTTATGGGCCGTGGTGGTGGTGGAGGGGGGGGGGCATATGACAGCTCCCTACTTGAAGAAAAAATTTATCCAACACATGAACATGGAGGAAAGGGAAATGCCAAGCCAATTTGTGGTGTTGAGGGTTTTAACATGTCAATCTCAAGTATGGAATGGGTAAGCTGAACATGTGGAATACAATCGTTATGGCACTTCCCTCTCCAGGAACACTGACAAACTCCAAGCAATTGCCTTGAAAAACAATTTATATGTATGAGAGGATTATCTATAAAGAGGATTAAGTTGTCTGAAAAAAACCCAATCACATGCACTTTTGTTAAATTTGAGATTAATTTAAGACAAAGTCGTCAGTTTCATGAACTTGAATAGGTTTTTGAGCTCTTTGGGGCAATTCCCCTTCCAAAGAAACTCTCTGCAACTAAACAGAGATGTCAAGTGTCCCCAAAGACAGTATATTCTTACTAGTAAGTGTTAGTTTTCAGAAACAAGTTGGGGATGAAACTTAATAGATCTTGTCCATGCTCAGAGCTCTGCTGCCTGGCTTGCTAGTGCTGTTCAATTTTTTCTGTTACCTTGAAAACCTTGCCTCCATGGTCTCTGACCAAAAAAGTCTAAGTTTCCAGCATTTTCCAGAGGATTCATGGACAGTGGAGTGGTAGTCTGAAGATTATAGACAAAAAACAAACCTGCAATGATTCAAACTGGCTTGTACAACATACCAACTACAGTAGATACTGTAGATAGCTCTTTCATTCATACTTTACTATACGCTTTATGCAATTCGAGTGTGAGAAGTTTGGTTTTGAACTTTCACTTGAAAATGTAATTCTAACTAAAAGTTACGGAGAGTTTGTTATTAATCAAGTAAAAAGAGGAGTACCATAAATAAAATACAGTATAAACAGTACATACTTCCTTTTTTGAGATATAAAGCTGTAGAAACCATGTTCTGATTAGCTGGTTCAAATCACAGGACTTAAATTAATCTGACACTACTTACATGGCACAAACCCTGGCATAGCTGTCTCCTCACAATAGCATTATTGGCAGCTTGTTGGTAGTAGAACCCTGGGTGCTGAGTCTGTGATGAAATACCAGATTAGCTTTGAGGAAATGCTGCTGTCTCTGTTTAGATGCTGTAGCTCAACAACAGAGTTGAGGTATCCCATTACAATTATTAAAAGCTAGCCATAAACATGCCATCCTGAGTATTAGTCAGCCTAACTGCAGTGCATTTCAGGATAACCCCTCACCCTTAACCCACTGCATTTTAGATGTTAGATGAGATCAGCTGTGAAAGTTTTCCAGAGATAAGCATTCTACATGTATTCCATGATCACTTAAAATGAACAGGAAGAGTAAGTGTTATAGAACAAAGGTTTGGCAAGTTAGAGCCAGAAGCATCCAAAGACCTTTTTACCAGAAATTTCCTGTACATGTACAAGATAATATCCATCATAAAATCATGTAGATAAATTTTCAATTAACCAACCATACTCAGGACCCTGCTGGGAGAAGATTGAGCCTTGGTCAATATTCTCCCTGCACAGCTCTTGCACTAGGTCCAAAAGACGTACTCTTGCTGAACCAAGAGCTTGGTCGGGGCTCAAATTGAGATACATGTATTTTGATCACAAATCCAACACGCTAAGACCATATACATGTTGTTACCTGCAACGCTGTCAGTCCATTCCTGATGGCTTCATCAAACAGCTCTCCAAATAAACTGAACCTGGCAAACAATTTAAAGCCATTCATGGTCTTATACAATCAGTCAACCAACTAATCAATCAATGAATTGATATTGATAGATCAACCAATTAATCATCAATTAATCATCGTCCGTCCGTCCATCCATCCTTCCACCCATCTGTCTGTTCATCTGTCTGTTCATCCGTCTGTCCATCTTGGTCAGTCAGTCAGTTATTCAGTCAGTCAGTCAGTCAGTCAGTCCTTTCATTAATTCATCAAGTATCAGTAAATGAAATTCATGTACAGCTTAACCTTTTCTGGACACTTAAATTCAATGGCAGCATGCAATTCACATTAATGTCTTAACCTTTCAACTCTGCTGAACTTTAAGATACAGTGGAGTCTTGTTTTCTCAAACCTCCAAACAAGGCAACTGGTTTGAGAGATCGGAAGTTTGAGATATTGGGGCAAAATTACAGTGAAACAAATCCAAGGAAAATGACTTTTGGTTCCAGGTATTGGAGGTTTCAGAAATTAATTGTTCAAGAAATCAGGATTCCCCTGTTGGTACAAATTCTCCTTACATGTATAACCAACATTTCTTATAGTTGTACTTTGGCTTTCATTCAAAATTATTTCTAAAATTTGTGTTGATATTGTTACAAGAAATAAGATACCACAGCTAAGTCCACTATCTCTACTGACAGACATACATACTCACTGTTTAGAGAGCCAGGCTGAGTGCTCAAATGCCAATTCAGGGGAGCCAACTTTCTCCTTGAACAAATCAACATGTTTTCTGAATTGTGAAATGGCATCTAATGGAGCTGATGCCTGGAAACTCAGACGACAAATCTGCATTGGAGAATTATAAAAAATTAAGACCTCTTTAGTTCTTGTGGCATTTAACTTTGTACTATTGCAATAATTATACTTTAAAATAAATAGTACTGATGTTACAAGTATTGTGGAGAGCTCACAGGAGTCACCATAATGATGAGTAAAATTGTATATAATTACACAATAAATGGAGATTTAAAACCAACTTTTCACTAATCTGAAATCCAGACATTGAACCATTCTGTCTTAATTTCAATGCAATCTACATATCAAAGCACAGATATCATTATGACACTGATGCCCATTGTACTGTACTTAAATGTTTAAACTCTGAAAACACAAACCTTATAATTGACAAAGCCTGCAACAACTTTAATTTCTAGCATATTGATGTCACTTGACTTGAGCTCTCCTAGGAGACTGTAGGCTTGCCTGTAGTGCCTGAAGTGAAACAAATTTTTATGTTCAGCATTACATACACCTGACTGTCATCTTGATGTATACCTGCCAAGTTTTTCCAGCTCAAAGACATGACAGTTTTTTTTTTTGCCTGGGAGTATGTGACATTAAATTCTACTGTCAAAATGACTTTATCGCATCCAAAGATGTTCCAAGATTTTCAAAGAAGCTCTTGGATGTCCGAACATTTTCTGGTTCCTGTCATACCTTCTCACCAGCACTTTTTCCTTATCAAAAAAACCAGAGATTTTGAAGGATGCTCTGTCATTTGCATCAACTTTTTTTAACTCAACTTGGTTTGCATTTACATATTTTTTGAAAGTGTGTAAGTATGAGCTCATGAAGCTCTAAATAAATGCTACACTGGCATGAGTTGGAATGAGGTCAAACTTTGTAGCCCCCATACATAAGAATCACACCCTGTGAGAGTTGACACCTATAAATACATTTATGTTGATGTCATCCTGAGTTTAGATGGTATGCAACATAATTTATTTTATTTAAAAGTCTGTAAGAGTGCAAAAATTATTGTGCCTCTGGACTTACTTTATGGCAGAATGGGGGTCCTGTCGAAGCTCATTGAAGAAGGCAACCTTAAACTGGTGTCGTACCAATAGCAGCTAAAACACACAAGAAAAATCCTCAGTTCCTATCTTTACTGAATATATAAATGTATTGATGATTAATTTGCTGTAATTGGTATGACAAGAAAACACCTGTTAAGATAGCTTGATAGAAAAACAGAACCAGTACAAACTACAAGTTAATGATGGTACAAGAAAAGAAAACTCCATGATGTACTTGGTAATTAAAATAATCATGGGAAGTAAGTGATTTTCCATTCTTTTTCTTTCACTGTTTTCATAAAGAAATTGGAAAACATTTTCCCTATGCTTCTTTATTATAATATCCCTCTCAGTCCAGATCCTGCTTATTTCTGTGAGAAGCACTTCATAAGTTGAAAATGACCTACTGTGGTAATTTTAAATGCTGGCTGGTTAATATTCTAACCTGATGAGATCCCTTGTTAAGAAACTCCTGAANAGGCAACCTTAAACTGGTGTCGTACCAATAGCAGCTAAAACACACAAGAAAAATCCTCAGTTCCTATCTTTACTGAATATATAAATGTATTGATGATTAATTTGCTGTAATTGGTATGACTACAAAACACCTGTTAAGATAGCTTGATAGAAAAACAGAACCAGTACAAACTGCAACTTAATGATGGTACAAGAGAAGAAAAATCCATGATGTACTTGGTGATTAAAATAATCATGAAAAGTAAGTGATTTTCCATTCTTTTTCTTTCACTGTTTTCATAAAGAAATTGGAAAACATTTTCTCTGTACTTCTTTATTATAATACACCTCTCAGTCTAAATCCTGCTTATCTATGTGAGAAGCACTTCATAAGTTGAAAATGACCTACTGTGGTAATTTTAAATGCTGGCCAGTTAATATTCTAACCTGATGAGATCCCTTGTTGAGAAACTCCTGAAAAATAAAGGAGGAAAAAATGTTAGAAATATCACTTGAAATATCAAAATAGTCACCTTTTGGGTTACTGCTAGATATTAAATTCTGTTAAAGCCTGTTCTGATTGTTTTTGGGTACAGTCCAGCTAGACAGCATCTCTTAAATTATGATGTTTGTTATTCTTGCCACCTGTCTACTTGCTGTTGCATTGAAAATTAAAGGGAAATAAGATGCTGATCACACTTTAGACATGTTCTTTCATAAGTTCTTCAAAAGTTAGAATTTTATAGGATCAATATCCCACCTTGTGAGCTTTAACTCTTCTACATTCTCCATGATAGTAACTCTGTGCTAAATCATAGAAAGCATTTTCCAACCTTTTGAGGAAAGAAAGGCTCCACTACCATCACTTGTATTTATTTAATAAAAATACCAAAACCAAACCAATACTAACTGTGAAATTTCAGCTATAACCTCCCCTCCCCCCGCCCTCCATTTATGTGTAGATGAAAAAAAAGATTCTGATTAAAAGTCCCTTCTGGATAAACGCCCTCTTTTACTTCGGTACTTTACAAGCCAGTGTTTGCGATTGTGGAGGTGTGGTGGCCTGATGGTTAGTGCGGTCGTCTCCGGAGCGAGCGATCCAGGTTCGAGGCCTGGCCAAGGACATTGTGTTGTGTTCTTGGGCAAGACACTTTACTCTCACAGTGCCTCTCTCCACCCAGGTGTATAAATGGGTACCGGCAAATTTAATGCTGGGGGTAACCCTGCGATGGACTAGCATCCCATCCAGGGGGGAGTAGAAATATTCCTAGTCACTTCATGCTACGGAAATCGGGATAAGCTCCAGCTTGCTGGTCCACTCAGCTCATACGCAGACTTTACCTACCTACTTATTTGCGATTGTGACGAAGCTTCATACAACACCTCTGTGCCTTGTCTCAATGTTTCTTACTTGTGCCTTGTGTTTCTTGTTCCCATGAACATCAAACACCTTTTCATACTTTTTATAATTTCTAAACATACATTAATTTAGCAATTTCTAGCAATTTAGTAATTTTTTGTTCTTTCCAATCAAAAAGTCATGTGAAATAAACTTATCTAATCAAGCTTGTTAGGACTATAGTCAGAGAATATTAGTTCTTAGTCTTTTGTACATAGAACTTGCTGTACCCACATAAAACAAGGGAAATCATGACTGTTATAGTGTTTGGATATCTGATCTTAACTAGCATGGATTTAAATGATTCTGTTTTACCATTTCCTCTTTAGCTTTAGTTCCGATTGAGTATACATAGCAAACTTGAAAGACTGAGTTGACCACATTTCCAAACACCTCCAAGTTGTTATGCATCGTATTTTCAACTCGCTTCCTGGTGTTTAGAAATAATTGTGGTCTAACAAAGTCTTTTGTGTTTGATATGTCAAAACCTAGTGCTGGTATTTCTCTGACTAGTACAACCACTGTAGCTAGTTCATGTTACATCTTAAAAATCAATGTTTGTGGTGTTACCTGATTGTATAACCAATTAAGTGGTCTGTGTGTGGAAGAACAAACAGAGACTTGGCTGACAAATCATATGCACTGCAAAGTGTTGCTGCCCTTTCTAGTGCCTGTAGGTCATCACCTGTAATATTTATCGCAGACACGATACTTAAGAAGCCAGGAAAACTGTCAATCTGGGCCCAGTTGTTCATTGAAACATGATTAAGTGTAATCTAGGATTGGCATAAATTTTGATTGTAGTTTCATATGTCAGTGATGCCCTCTGTCTCTGTCTTATACCCTGCAGTTTTGATGTCAGCTACTGTAAAATTCCAAAAGTAATGAACTCCCAAAAGTAGCAACAACTGTAAAGTAAAGTGAAAAAATTGTGGCTGCTAGTAAATCTCAAAAGTAGCAACCCCCTCGAAAGTAGCAGACCAACTCCCACCCAACTCCAGAGAAAGTTATACCAAGGTTCAATAGCATATTTATTTTTCCAATAAATGGTCAAGTGAAAGTTACGCACAACAAGGGAAGGCATCCCTTACAGTGTGCTACAAAAGTGTTGTGAAATGGTTATTTACAGTGCAGCTCAGATATAAGTGAACTATGCATATGCGTATTATAAGCACGTATTTTGCACATGCGCAAATGTCAATACACCCACATATGCACGCATGTACGTGCATGTATGTCTCTTTGTTATGCATCCCCATAAGTTTCTTTATATGAAGCATTGTTGGTCAAACAAAGGACATTTATTTATATTTCTGGAAATGAAAAAGGCTTCAAAGGGAAATTTGCATATTGTTAAAACGTCAAGCCGGTAAATGCAAGCTATAATCATACTTCAAGTTTTGATCACTACGCAAAGTTACCAACAAACTATTTATTAACACTTGCTTGATCTTAAGCTACCAAAAATGGGAAGAAAATTGAAACAGTCGTTTGAACTCCCTATTTTAACACGTGAACTCTATGTTTTTACAAGGAAAGATCTGTGTTTCGGCACGTGTTGGCAAGTCGTTTGCACAATGTTTATAAATTTGTCTGAATTAAGCATTCTGAGGATCCTCATTGAAAAAATAATATCTCCGTTTCTATTTGACACAAATGTTCATTCATACGGTAAAATACACTTTCTTTAGTCAAATAATTGTTTGTCAAAGTTTCTATGGCATGTCGCTCACATTTAGCTATTTTTTCTTCAAGGGAAAGTTCTGTGTTTCGGCAGGTGTCGGCAAGTTGCTTGCTAGATGTTTACTATCCAAAGTTCCGCAGATCCTTGTCGCAAAAATGATATCTCCGGTTGTATTTGACACAAACCATTCATTCAAATGCTAAAATACTCTTTCCCTGATGAAAGAATTGTTTATCGAAGTTTCTATGGTGTGGCGCTCACATTTTGTTATTTTTAATTTTCTTCAAGGAAAAGTTGTGCATATCAGCATGCGTTTCCAAGTCGCTTGCTTGGACCATGTTTACTTTGTGTCAAAAAAATGTTATCTTTCGGTTGGGTTTGTTCCATGAATATGGGATTGTTAAAGTGTGTATTCCCAGTTCTATTTGACAAAAACAGTAAATTTTTGATTCAATGGCAAAATACTCTCCCTTTTAATGAGTATTCAGTCAGTTAATTTTCTGTCAAGTGCCCAATTGCAAAATGTTAGTTTCAGCTAACATTTTGCTAAGTCTAGTCTGAAGGCAAACACGTGTATACTGTATGTACGCGTATTCAAAATAAAGAAAACTCTTCCTCGCTCTGTGGCAAGCTGTCAAGCCATTGAAAACAACAATGACCTGTTAAGAAAAGAAGAAACAATAGGATAGTTCATACATATTAATGGTGCATACGCACATATACTGTATATGCGTATGTGCGTATATGCATACACGTATACATGTATTGGGCTGACGCGAACTATGCGTCTATTTTGGTTCAGATGTATCTGAGCTGCACTGTATGCTTCATCAGTTTGAGTTGTGTTGTGTTAAGCAAAACAAATCCCATATAATTTTCATTAAATACCACGATTGCACTACATGTAAAAGGAACTTTTGTACAAATTCAAATAGAAAATCTGTAAATTTTCAACAAGAGCGAATTAAAAGGAATGTTTTTCAAGTTAAAATTGAAAACTTGACCACTGCACTGGGATATTGATACAGTAGACTAACATGATAGCAGTGTGCCATGAATGGTATCTAACTAACTTTCCTGAGACCACTGACAACACCATCTAGACATCAAGGGCCTACCCACATGGCAGCAATATAAACTTAACCTGGAATGAAAAATTTCTTGCCATGTTTTAAGAACTGTTTTTACAAATTTCTGTCTTTTATTCCATAAAAAAGCTCAGCCGCACCAACTTTATATAATGTTATCTGCTCCCCAAAAGTAACAACTCCCAGAAAGCAGTGAGTCCCAAAGGTTGCTAATTCTGAAAGTAACAAGGGTCATTACTTTTGGAATTTTACCGTGTTCTCAAGCTCCACCAAACTTTATCAATGAAAATCACTTTTATACAAGAAAAATAATTGACATTTAATCCATGTGTTAATTATATGCCAGTGCTGAAAGGTTATTACCCTACAAGGTCTTGCAGCCTAGTAGGGAACAATTGAAAACCAATAAAGCACTATTTTTAAAATAAATAAATAAAAATTAAAATAAAAACTTAAAAACAACAACAAAAAAAACTGATCACCCTTTCTGCTAAAGGAAAAAAGGTTGAAAATGTCTGCTTTTACCCTTTTTTTTTCTTTTAGCACAAAATGTGATCAGTTTGTTTACTAATTGCAAGACCGTGTTGGGTAATCCGGCATTATTAGTGTGTCTTACCAGGTGGAAGAGGTGCATTCTTTTGAATGAGCACAACAGCTACCTTGGTGTTCTGGTCTTGGAGACTGCTTCTGCTCGGGAAGCAACATATTATTTCAAAAATATACAAATGATACCAGAGTAACGTTTCCCTAACCTGATGTAAACTTTTTTGGGAGTTTAGCTCAGATTAGGGAAACAAGAAATGGAATCTCCAATCTAATTAAGGCACTAATATACAATCTGATGGGTCATAACCATGTTCACAAAGCCTCATTCAGAATTACTATGTGTCCAGTCAAGAGGTGGATGGGTTTATGGATATGCTTATTTGAAACAACAGCGGCTGACTCAAAATTCTACCGAGTGTTCTATTATAATCCAATAGGATCCCAAGGTAAGACACTGTAGAAGCCTCTAGGATCTTCAGGCCAGCTGAAACCTTTCTNGCCTTTCGCTGCCGACAAACAGTTTCGGAAGAAGCCGCTGAAACAATATGGCGCGCTGTGAACGCAGTATCAATGTGTCGAAATACATTCAATTTTTCAATTATCTTGTAATATTCAGGCATTATTTTACTGGGGACGGAAAGGAGAGTTGTATACTAGCTACCATATTCGATTGATTTCCTAATATAAAGATTTAAAAACAAAAGTTGTGTCGTGGTTTTCTTTACTTATCAGACAAAACGTGAGTCGCTAGTCGCCAGCTGGCGACCAGTTCTGAAAATTTAGTCACCAGTGCTCAGTTTTTGGTCGCATTGGCGACTAGTGAGTCACAATTTCGAGCCCTGAAGAGAGAAAACAGGATTTTCTGGTTTTGGTGTTTGACTTTGTCCTAAGCAAAAACATCTGGGCTCTGGTGATGAGACTGCTGTAAATATAGTGCAGATTATTTGTACAAGGCAGTGTGAAGTATTTTACACATAATTCTCAAACTCATAATTAATAATTCATAAAGTTTAAACAAAGGAAATCATGACTGTGACGGTGTATGGATATCTGATCTTAAATAGCATAGATTTTAATAATTTTATTTTTCGGTTTTCTCCTTAGTTTTAGATTCGATTTGAGACAATACATCAAATACTCAAGACAGTGTTTGACCACATTAATTTCCAAAAACCTAAAAGTTTGTGAAAAATACTCCCCTACACATCGTATTTTCAACTCCCTTCTCGGTGTTTGAAAATGTGGTCAAACATGGTCTCTCATGTTTGATACATTACTGAATAAGAGTTACTGTACTGGTAGGGGCTGTATTATCATCATTTTTAATAGTACCTGACTTTTTCCAGTTTTGAAGCACATTCAGTTTGTTTGTCTTTCCACTGAGTGTCATCCCAATCCAGTTCATAAAACATGACCACAACAGCTGGAGTAAGGTAAAGATGCTTGTGCATCCATTTAGTTTTTAGGATACCCTTTAGTAAATACCACTCATATGTAGAACGCTATAAAATAGAATCATAGTTACTGGTTTGAACCCAGGAGTAAGAGTGGTTCATTTTATGTGAGTCAGGGGTTTCATTAACTTATTCAGCAGGAGGACAACTGATTTTCACAGAGGGACAAAACTTTTTGAACCAAACTTTTTTACAAGAAAGAGTTTCCTCTAGATGGTCAAACCAGGCAGGCAAAATCAGGCAATTTGCTCAGTGCTTGGCCCTTAATGAAATCCCTGGACTGATTGAGTAAATGAGGGAACTCCTGTGAAAGACTTTTGTTTGTCATGCCCACTGACATTTGAAACTGAGCAGGAGTTGCCTTTTAATTAATGTGAACCAATCAAAGCTTAAGATAAATGTTGATAAATAGGAATACCTTTCAAGTCTACCTATTGTCAGCAACTCAGGAACGAAAAGGTCACTAAATGGTAACTATATCTGATCTTTGACATGGGGCAGACTCAGATGTCACAACAGATGTTCAAAATCCCAACCAAGGGATCAATCATGGAGTGAAATTCTCATCCCTTGCCTGCACTCCACCAACACAGGATTTCCATTGATAGGTGCATAAACCCCCTTTAAACTTATTTCTCCTCGGACCCCCCTTTTTACGGGGGGGGGAGGGTGGGGAACGGGAGCAGTTTGGGATAATACAGCGTAAGGGCAAATCATTCATCACTTTGGACATATTTTTCCAGTGGTTATGACCTTGTACAAGTCTAATGTTTAACCCTTAACATAAATTTGAAGTAAGTCCAAACGCAACATTTCGCTTTGCCACGAAGCTTGCATATTCAGAAGGAATTTTCACAATATTAGGTTATTCTTACCTTCGACTTGGCTTTGGGAAACTCGTGATCAATTGGCAAAAGTCTGAAAGAAAGTGGAACTCTGTCAGGATGCCTGTTGACAGAAAAAGACTCCCAGATGGCCTTATGCAAAGGTTTCTGATTTATGTCGAGCCCCATCAGAGCTATAAGACCAAGCGGCCGAGTCGCTAGTTCTGTTGGAAACTCACTGGCAGCCGCCATCTTTGTTTTGGGGATGTAACCTGGCCTCGTTTTCGAGTACAGAAATTAGGTGATTTTTCGGGCAAAACGCTCATGATTCGTGCAACGACACTTTGGCGTGATTTCCAAAACTCGTAAATAAAGTTCCTAGTTGTTACTTTTTTTAGAACTTTTTCTTTTAAAAAGTTTTAGATTGTACTTGGATTGAGACTGTTGTTAGAGTATGATTGATTGATTGAGTACGCAATCTTCGAACAAAACTATTTTAGGAATTACCGCGTGCGTGAAATTACGTGTCGTCTAATTATCACGAATTTTTCATCGATCTGCGAAAATTAAATCACGTGAAAACAAACTCCCTCCAAAAAAAATTCCGCAAAAATTTACTCCTTTTATTTAAATTGCCGAATTTCAATGAATTGGTTTCAAACGGTGTAACGAAAACGACCAATGACTTCCGTTTTTGTTACTTTCAAGTACCGTACATGAAATCCGCGAAAAATTATTCCCAAGAGTACAGTCTGAAATCCAAATTCGCGAAAATTTTTCCCTCGAAACCTGAAAAATCCAAAATCCGCGAAATTAAACTCCCGCGAAAATCTCATGCCACACGGTTTCATCAGATGTGGGAACTGAGAACGATTTTGTTTTTCATGCAATTTGAGTGCGTTTGCATCCCGATTTCAACAATCACGCATACGGAAATTGCGTAAATTTTTCGGGCAAGAAGGTCACCGCTCCCCCAAGTCCGAAAGTGCCCGTACGCCTATGAAGACTGGGCGGGGAAGGGCGGGAGGTGGGGGGACGATTATCTGTCTCCTTCATGCTTCAAGCGATTTGCAATTGCGGTAGCTCCGTCATTTTGAAAATTGCGTAAAAAAGACAGTGTAGTCATGATTCTGTTTTTTGTTTCTCTTTGTCAAGGTTAATTCACGTAATTAAGGACGAAAGGACGAACTATTTTTAAAATTTTTTTATACTTCCCAACTCAAATACGTTTTACGACTGGAGGAGAACTTGTCACGTGTCATGGGTCAAAACTCACTCATAGGTCAAGCAAAACTTACTTACTCCCTAGGGAAATGACATACTGTATTTTGAGGACTGGATTGAACTGGAATGGACTGGACTAGTAAAATGAGGACCAGTAAAACGAGGATCAGTAAAACGAGAACTGGTAAAGGAGAACGCAATAAACTAGTTGTCTTTAATTTAAACGATCATCTGTCATCCAAAGAGCATCAAATGCTAATCAGATTTAGTACATATCTACCAGCGTTCTATCACGAATCGGGCTGCGCCTTCAGCTCGGGCTGCGCCCTCGTCAACTATCACGTGATAAAAATCTCGAGCTCATAATCTAATTGTTAAATAAACTACTTCTAACAAAAACAACGACATATATACTAGGGCTACATGAAAGGATCTAATGTACGTACAGTATATACGTATTTATATCATGCCATAGGAAATACAGCCAATTTGAATACAGGAAATTAAGCCTTGTATTACATTCAATAACCTTTCCATCATGCGCCGCGCGTATGTCGCATAGATTGAGTTGTCCACTGTATTTTCTATGGCATGGTATAAAATACTTATGAAACGCTCTCTCGTGGTATGCTTGTCACAAAGGCTCGTGTGTACAACGAGAAAATACAACTGACTGTGGAACATTCCACGGTATACCACTCGAAAGCGTTGCAAAACTAGTATTTACTGTATTGAGGATCCCAGCTTCTTCCTCAAATCGACGTTTCGCTTCGGCCGACTCGCCTTTCACTTTTTTTTTTTACAATAACATTTTGACTAGCCTATCTACATCCGCCCCCTCCCTTCAAAAAACATAGGGGAGAGGGACGTCTGTGTAGTGGCGTCGCTAATCGGGTTCCCCATTCCGGGTGATATTCCTGGAATGTTTGGAAAGTACACCGTTTGGTTGTTACACTAACGTACCGTTAACGTACGTGGGACATTTCTCGTCTTAAAAAAAAAAAAGAAAATGGCCTATTTATCAAAGCATTCTAAGAGGCACGACTACATTAACCCCCGACATAGACACCTTCAATATATTTTCTCAAACTTAGGGAGCGTTCATTAACTATTGGCTGGAGGGTGAGGGGCGGGAGGGAAGGGCCGGTATTATTTCAAAGGCGAGGGCCCAAAACTTTTAGCCCCTCTCAGGTTAACAGCCCAAAAATCTTGTCCCCACCCCCCGTAACATGTGAGCCCAAAAAATTGTAACCCTCCCCTGTGATAACTTTTTGAGAATTAGAATTTTGCATCGCAAGAATCCATATGAGCGTGATTTTCAGACAATTATTTCATTGGAATAAGAAAAAAGTGTTACTGCCTTTGCTCTCATTGGTGCTACTTCTATTGTCTTTGTCACCACTTTCATCATCATCACTTGCATCACCGCTACTCTCATTTCCAGAAATACCCAACATTGTTCTCAGCTCTGATTTCGCGCTGTCATTTAAAAGTTTACACTGTTCAGACGTCAAAGCTACCACCAATTTCTGTTCTCGTTTTCCAAGTTCCTTGACGATGTCTCTACACAAATCCTCCTTCTCGCAAGGTCTTAGACCTGTACGTCGTGGAACGAAAACTGAAACATTCAAGAGGGGCACTAAAGCAAGAAAAAATAGATCTGATAACCATAGACACTGCTAAGAAAATGATTGAAGGTAGCGAAGTTCTGGATGAGACCCATTGTGATGATAATGTATATGGTGGTGTCGTGGAGGAATCGGAGAGGATGATAACGATGATGACATCCATGAGGATTCTGATGAGAATCAAGAGAAAAACAAATCGGTCCAGGAAAATAACTTTGGGAATCTTTTACAGACCACACGATATGGCCAAACTTGAAGGACCTGGAGGAGTAGAGCACAGAGCAAGAGCTGCGGACTTTTCTTGAATAGAGACAGGAGCCATAATCGGGGACGGAGACCGTAAGCGCGCGCCATTTCTAGTATTGGGGTTGTCCACAATAATTGTCCCATATCATAGGTGCGCACGGATCCCAAGACTTACGGTCTCCGTCCCCGATTATGGCTCCTGATAGAGACAATTTTCCTTTTGCCATTCACTGATAAGTTAATATGCACAATTTGTTCACTCTTCAAGTTGACTACAAGACAGGAATTCAATATAAAGTCACAATGGGGCTGTCAGGGGTTCTCTTTACTTGGTGAAACATTGGGTTTTGTAAATGATTGTAACTAGTCAAAGTAATAGCGATGGCGGGGCCGATGATAGTGATCAGTAACATTGAAATTTCCCAAATCATTGCAGCCTTACAAAATACAAATTAAATGTTAAGTCTTGTGACTTGTCGTCCTCCACTCAACTTGCTAAAACTGTTTATGCCTGCATGTTATTCTTTTACGTCGTATATTCTTAAAGTTAGATCTAACGTGGAACTAATTTAAAAGTAATGTTAATATTTTTTTTATTTTCTTTGTCTCTCTAGTTGTTTGTTATGCATTATTTTGTTACTCACGTAATATGATAGCTGATCCGCCTAGATTAGCCTAATGCTACCAGCAGATCAGTTTTACATTTGTATTAATTTTTAAACGCGATTGAAGTAAAGCAATCGCAACATTTCAACACAACATATCGCGACATTGTTGGGCGCAACATGTTGTGCGCATTTGGCCACCCTGTTGGGACGTGTTGCGACACGTTGGGTGTTGTTGGCTTAAGCTTGAAAATGGTCAAATTTTTCATGCAACATTTGTAGATATTGCACGATGTTGTACTCCTTTGGCCAGGATGTTTTGCCAGGGCATGCGCACTAGATCGATTTGCGACGCCCAACATAACGCAACGCGTCCAAACGCGCGCAACGTACATGTTGCGCCTTACGATGTTGCGATATGTTGCGTTGAAATGTTGTGATCGTTTGGCCGGGGCTTAGGTGTGAGTAAACGTTGCGAAGATGCAAGGTGCTTTAACAGATAATTTATAAAGTCTGCAACCAGCAACATGTAGTTTTAATTTAGCATGGATGTCGTGTAAAACATTAAGCTTTATACACACAAGCTTGGACCGAACTAAACAATTGTTAATGTTGATTGAAGGGAATGAATACTAGCTCAGAGCTGAGGTTCATAGTGGAGCTCCAGAGCGCTAAGCGTGCCAGCGGAGCACCAGGGGTGAGGGAATTTGGTAAACCGTCAAGCCGAGAAAATTTGGTTATGACGTCACGTACGAGTGACGTCCGTCCGTCCGGAAGGCTCTGGAGAAAGAGGAGGGGAGTCTCAAGGTAACGCTAACGGGAGAGCACTAGCCTGCAGAGCAGGCGAGATTTTTTC